GATGAGAGCCCCACTTTCATAATGGAAAAACTGTCGAATACCTTTTAGGGTGTGTTTGGCATTGGCTTTTCAATTCCTTGTGTGCCCGATTCCTTTGATATCTTTCTGATCTTCGTATTTGGTACATAGATGGCCTCGCCAGTTGACGTGCATATAGTTTCCCTGAGGCCACAGATTCAGAGACGTTAGGAGATTCCGTGGGTGGCTCAGCCTCTCCTTTGACTCGAGGTGGACGACAGGGTGGATGGCATGGGGAGACGATGAGGCTGGCTCAAGATTCGGCCACAGAAGTGGTTTGATTAGGTTGACTGATGTGATGCTCAGATTGATGGTGGACATTCGAGGTTTGCAGAGGATGGTGGCAGAGCTCACTATGAGTGGTGCTAGTGAGAGTCGAGGGCCGACATCAGTTGGGGGATACTGTTGCTCTCGGAGGGGTGGTGGCAAGGCCACCAGCCCCAGCCAGTATACTGGTAGGCACACCTATGCGGCCAACAGGGCCATGTGATTCGGAGTTGCCCATCTTCTCGAGAGGCTGCTCGAGCAACGGAAGCATGTTATCGATGTGGCTAGCAGGGCCACGTGGCTAGGGACTGCTTGCAGGAGACTGCCCGAGTGAGAGGGGCTTATTATAGGTGTGGTCGGCAGGGGCACCTAGTCAGAGACTGTCCCATTTTTTCAGAGACTATCTTGGCTGCAGGCTTAATACCGCAAACTCAGGGTCACTCGAGAGTAGAGTCGTCTGACTCCCATGGTCGTGGTACACGTGGCGGAGATCTACCATAGAGGTATGCGTTGACTCAACATGACGCTCAGGCGTCTAACACAGCGATCATAGGTATGATTTCGATTTGTTCTTTAAGGGCTTATACGTTATTCGATCTTGGTTTCATTTATTCGTATGCGTCAGTGAGTTTATTGATCTGAATTCGTAGAAAATGAGAACCATTAGGACATCCGTATTTTGTAACGACTCCAGTTGGAGAGTTGGGTTGGGTGATTTTGATATTCCACGGTGAGCTTGGTGATTCTTGGTGTAGGTTGGTTGGCAATGTGTTTTGCCACTTTAGAATGTCATTATATGACAGGGAGATCTGATGTGTCACGAGAGATGGTGTGAGTGTACTAAGGAGATAGAGTTTTGCTTTGACTTGCGGCCTGGTTCACAACTGATTTTCATACCCTTGTATGGTATTGCTCCAGTAGAGCTTAGGGAGCTTAAGGTGCAGTTATAGGAGTTGTTGGATCGAGATTTTATTAGGATGAGTATCTTTCCTTGGGAAGTATGTGCCTGAGTTATCACATGTGATTACGTTACAAGATGTCTAAATGGATCAAGATTTGTCATACGAGGAGGAACCGGTGGTTACATTAGATTGACAGGTGAAACAGCTTTGCTTGAAGATAAATGCACTGTGGAATAGTCAGACCTCGGAAGGGGTCACCTAGGAGTCTGAGGAGGGCATGTGCAGGAGATACCCTCACCTTTTCGATACGTGATCTTTTCCTTTATTTTAAATTCAAGAACGAATTCCTTTATGGGGGGAAGAATGTAACAACCCGAAATTTTAATTTTTATTTGATCAAGGACTAATCTGTAGGAATCAAATTTTTTGGGGGCTAAAGTGAAAATATTTCAGGGATCGTTCTGTGAGTGACCTGGAGTTTAGGGACCAAGCTTGCAATTTCTAGAAAGTTTTTCAAGAACAGTGGCCGAACACTGTTCCTCGTCGATACGGCCACGTTTTGTGATGATTTCAGCCAACTTTAAGCACGTTCTTGAGCATTTTTAGGCATAAGCCGAACCCTTCGATGAATTGAGAGCTTCGCAAGGAGAGAATGAGAAATTTGGTGTTTTCTCGCCGACCAAGGGCACGGACATCCGACAAGCTTTTCTAGCTTTTGGCAAGCTTGTGACCAGCTTTTTCAATCGATTAAAAGCTCAGTGAGGGTTGCGGACTGAGGTCTACAGGCCTTGTCCATCATCGACTGAGGTAAGTTAGAGTTTCTGAGTTATTTCACTGTTTTTGGTCGAGGTCGTGTTGCAGACTTGGACATTGCTGTCAGGTCAGAAATCGGGTGAGGAAGAACCAGACCTGGATGGGTCCGGGTCCTGCTGAGCTGGGCCAGGCCGCCCGGTTGGCAATGGGCTGCAGGCTTGGGCTGCGGATGGGTTCAACATGATAAAACCCAGCTAATCATGAAGTTTGGTGATTTTTGGGTGATCGGTTCAAGGTGACCCAGTCTCAGTTTGCATGCTAGAGATCAAGGGTTTGAGTTCTTGGCCCAGTTCAGGGCTGGTTCAAGGCCTTCTTAGTAGGGTTAGACCGGTTCCTAGGATTTTTGGGTCTTCTGATTCCAATTTTGAGGGTTTCGTGGCCATTTGAGTTGAGTTGGAGGTAGTTTTGCAACGGGTTAAGCCGGTTCAAGGGTTTTGAAGGCCAGTTCGCTACGATTTGAGGGTTGTAGAGGCTGGTTCCGTAAGGTTGAGAGTGGTTAAGTAGACTTGTTCAGTGTTAGTGAGTCGTGTAGGTTCTGGAGATAGGTCAAGTTGCCTCGAGATGCATGCCAGAGGGCCAATTTGGGATTTAAGTCTGGTTTAAGGCTACCGAGCCTGTTTTTTATGTCGATTTCAGCGTTGGTGATGGTTTTATATATTTGGTTACAGATACACCAGTGGAGGGAGATCGGGAGTTCCTTTTTGTTCAGTCCTTGTACTGTGAGTAATGATACCCTCTCTATGCCTGTGTTTTCATACTGTGATTTTCTGACATGTTGATTATGTGGTTTGGAAACTGTATTTTGACTATATTATACTCGGGATATGTGTTATGTGTTTTATAAACTGTGAGTGAGTTATGTTGGTATGTGATGTTGGTTTTTGAGATGTAAACTGTATATGCCTATGTATACCTGCTTTTGACTATATGTGAGGATGGTATCATGTGATGTGAGGCAGCAAGGGCCGCGGGTGGCGGAAACCGCAATGTGATTGTGTGATGTGAGGCGGCATAGGCCGCGGATGTGATATACACTAGTGTGATTCCTCCGATCGTCGAGATGATGGGTTCCTCTAGTCGTGAGAAGACGAGACAGGGGTCTCACGATGCGATGTGTCTAGGATGGCAGGCTCAGCTGACGGACGGTGGACCGTAGCATACAGAAAGTACCTTGGCCCAGCGATGAGATAAGTTGTGTGGGTAAGGGCTCAGCCGACAAACGATGTGCTACCGTAGCGTTCGGGGAGTACACTGGCCCAGTGTTGTGATATGAAGATTGGATACGGGATGACAAACTCAGCCAACGAACGGTGGACCGTAGTGTACGGAGAGTACCTTAGCCTAGCGATGAGATGAGTTGTGTGGCTAAGGGCTCAGCCGATGAACAGTGTGCTACCGTAACTTGTGGGGAGTACACTGGCCCAATGATGTGATATGAGGATTAGATACAGGATGGCAAGCTCAGCCAACGGACGGTGGACCGTAGCGTACTTGGAGTACCTTGGCCCGGCGATGAGATGAGTTGTGTGGCTATGGGGCTCAGCCGAGGGGCGGTGTGCTACCGTAGCGTGTGGGGAGTACACTAGCCTAATGATGTGATATGAAGATTGGATACGGGATGGCAAGCTCAGCCAACGGACGGTGGACCGTAGCGTACGAGTAGTACCTTGGCCTAGCGATGAGATGAGTTGTGTGGCTAAGGGCTCAGTCGACGGACGATGTGCTACCATAATGTGTAGGGAATACACTAGCCTAGTGATATGATATGAGGATTGGATACATGATGACAAGCTCAGCCAACAAATGGTGGACCGTAGTGTATAGGGAGTACCTTTGCCCGGCGATGAGATGAGTTGTGTGGCTAGGGGCTCATCTGGCGTACGGTGTTCTACCGTAACGTGTGGGGAGTACACTGGCCCTGTGATTGATGTGATGTGATGATTGATTACATTGATACCTCACATATGTGTTTTGATTACTGCTCACTGTATATGTGTGTACGTATAGTTTTGTACTTGTGGCATAATACATATCCCAACATGTATAGATTTGGTATCATCTGTACTCACTGAGTTTCGCGACTCATAGTTTTAAACTTTTCAGATTTGTTTTGCTGTACTTGCCTCGATTAGCATGCCAGTGTGGGAGTCAGCGACTGCAGATTTGATCGATGTACGGGCATATCTCTTTTGTATCTTTTCCCTATTGTATTCTAGAGTAGCTTCCTTGTACTCTTAGACAGGATCTCGAATAGTTTCTAGACGCTGTATTACTACTTTTAGTATATGTTTTGTATTTTTGGAGTTTAACTGGTTTTTGTTGAGGTTTACTGGGGTCGGTAGACCCCAGTGCCAGTCACGGGCCCAGGGTCGGGGGCGTGACAGCATATTTGGGATTTGGGATCTCAGTTTTAAGATACCATTGTTAACTTTAATTATGGTAATTTGACAACTCCTAATATATTTCTATTTGTTACTTTTATTTAATTTATTAAAGTTTTTATTTATAATATTTTTGTGTTATCTCTTTCTTTTTTCTTCCCTTACATGACACGAGTTCGAGCACTAGGATAACAAGCCCAAGCAAATTTTGAAATCATTTCTGAATTATAAGATTAAAATATTTAAATTTAAGTAGTAGTTTTATTTTACATGGCACAATATTTCAGACTTATTGCATCAAAATATTACAATTTTTGACATTCCCATTAAGCCCAAAATCTTGTAACATTTCATTTCTTTTCATTTGTCCTAAACATAGATATTTTCCTCGATGCAAAGTAATTATTTGATATTTATTTTCTTTATTTAATAGAAAGCAAAGAAAGAGTTTTTTGCAAAACTCATTATCTTTAATATATATAACACTGCAACAAGGATAACACCAAATATATCCAAATTAAATATTTATTAGCCCTGCACTTAATATACCACTTTTCTCTTTAAATTCAATATTTTTAATGGACTTTAACTATCACACCTTTGTTAATTCAGGACGAAGTTATGCAGCAAACAACAATGGCTGAACGCTTGGAAGTTTGCCACCAAGCTTGAAGTCAGTCACCGCCACAACACAAGTGGACGGTTCCCTTCTTCATATTCATATAAATACATATATCACAGATCTGTTTTCTGCGAACTCAGTACAGAAAGCTTGGGAAACCCATTACTACGTGTCCTGCACTAGGCTTTGGACAAGGTGTTTCCGACGTCAATGACAAACCGGTACCGGACATCACCCTTTTGAAGGCGGTCCATTGCCGTGTTGACGTAGTCCATTGGTATGACCTCAATGTCGGCCGCAATATTGTTTTCTGCGGCGAAATCAATCATCTCTTGGGTCTCTTTCATCCCTCCTATCCCACTGCCACCTATCAATTTCCTTCCTGGGAATCAAGTTAGTCAATTTCCTTCCTGGGAATCAAGTTAGTTCCTCATCAATAGCTAACAGTTCGTCGAAGCAAAAATGAAGTATCATGTTCTATACTTACCTACAATCAAAGGGAAAACTGGCAACTCCAAGGGCCTATCCGGAGCTCCGACCATGACAAGCTTCCCATGAGACTTGAGCAGACCGACAAGCGGCATAATGGGATGAACCGCCGAGACTGTATCAACGATTCCATCCATAGACGCCATAGCAGCCTACGAATCAGAATCATCATCAAACTTCAAAGACAGCTTTATATAATATTTCCTATTAATACAGGAGTTACCTGCATGTGGTCCGCGTCACTGCTTATCAAAAACGAGTCAGCACCGAGTCGTCTCACAGCGTCCTCCTTCTTACCAGGGGAGGCACTGATCACAGTCACTTTCACCCCAAAAGCCTTTGCAAATTTTACCGCCAAATGACCAAGCCCTCCAAGGCCCACCACCCCCAACTCCGTGCCTGGTGTTACACAATGGTGGTGGCATGTCAATAGCTCGTCGGCAATTGTTTTGCTTTTCTTATTTTTAAATTTTTTATTACCTTTTCAAGTAGGAACCAAACATACTTTTCAAGAAACACAAAAAGTCCCTCGTTATTTTAGTCAGCATTGTTTATGCTCTTCTATTACCTGGCTTGGTAAGCCCATAGTATTTCAATGGACTGTACACCGTGATTCCGGCACAGAGAAGAGGAGCACCGCTATCGAGGGGCATTGATGCCGGAAATTTGACCACAAAGTGTTCGTTAGCCACCATCTCGTTAGAGTACCCACCGTAAGTGGTGGTTCCGTCATAGTCAGTGCCCGAGTAGGTGGCTACAGTTTTAGAACAATAATTCTCAAGGTCATTGGAACAGTTCTGGCAGGTCCGACATGACCCAACCATACACCCGACTCCCACTCTGTCTCCTATTGAGAATTTTGTTACCTTGTCTCCAACCTCTGTCACCGTGCCCACAATCTCGTGCCTATTTTAAGAAAAAGATATATTTCAGTTCAACTAACATGTCAATTTCTAAGCAGACCCGATTCGAAGTTCTTCGGGGGTGAATTGCAAAAATGATCGCCGACCATCTGGGAATTCTCAATTTAGTCAACTGGTTCTTAACTTTTACAATCAAGTACCCAGAGTAATAAATTTGTGTCAATGTCATACACTACCACATCTCTAATCAGAAGGAAATGTATAAAGAAGAAATGCCTCAATCACCAGAACGTGGCAGTGACAGAAAATGACATGAGCCTGTCATGAAACAATTTCACTCCATTTGGTAGCACCATGAAACACAGTTTTATTCATATTAACTCAAACGATTCTCCAGAGGGGGGAGATGGCGAATGGATTCTAAAGGTAATTATAGAAATGAGTAGGGTCTTTACCCGGGTACGAGCGGGTAGGTTGAGAATCCCCATTCGTTTTTGATGCAGTGAAGGTCAGAGTGGCAAATCCCACAATACAACACCTTAAATCTTACATCCTCATCTCCGGTTGCTCTGTAAAAATAGGTCATGCTCATAATAAAATTTTACATTAATCTGCCAGTTATCAATTAATATACTAGTATAAAGCTGAGAATCTATTAACCCAATTCTTACACTCAACAAGGATAAGAATAAGAATAAGAATAGTAATCGTTGAAATTTGACTTAGGATTTCAGTTTGATCCAATTAACTCACCTTCGCAACTAATATAACCCAACTCAAATTCTTATAAATCTGCTCAAGCTTAATCCAACTTATACTATAATTTGTTTCCAGGAATTGGACGAAGACAAAAATACCTTCTGGAGAATTTGAATGGGGAGAGAACGCCGGAGGGGTCTTTAGCTGCCCATCCAAAGGACTCAACAGGGTGTTCCTCTTCCGGTGACTTCCCTGCCATGCTGTATAGAAAGAGAGAGAGAGAGAGAGCGTGAGTGGTGACAGCAATAGTTTCGACTTCCCACTGACTCTATTGCAAGGAGAAAGAACATATTGGACTAACCCACCATGATCATAAACTCCATGATAATGTTTTGTGAAAAACAGTGTCCAACAATTCCCCACTCTTTTTCCCGAGAGAAAATTAGTGTAGACATGTTTCTGAGGGAAAATATGTGACAGAGCAAGCACTCACCCCCATTTTCTGCCAATCCAAACAGAAAGCCGATGCTCCAGAGCAAGGTTCACCTAATAATCACATACATGGAAAAGTGGGTGAGGGCCAATACATCAAATCCATTCCCGGGATTCAAGCAAATCTGCCTGTAAGAAAACCCATATTGGGGTTGACGCGAAATTTGGCATCTATCTACAAAAATTCTTGTTTAAACAAAAAAATAAAATTACTGCAATGTCCTACTGAGTAGGGGATTATTTTTTTCCCCTACTGATTAGAATGATTACAGCAATGTTCTAAGATAAAGACGGATTTCTCTATTATGATTTATGTGAATAATTACAAAGTGAAGGATTAACAGTGGAATCTTTCCTTGTTTTTTTAAAAAAAAAAGTAAAGAATAAGGGTGCGTTTAGATATTTTTTTCAGAAATTATTATGTACTAGTTTTAGAAATAATTAAAAATCTAAGTTTTAAAAAAAATTATCCAAATATTTTAAAATATTTCAAAATTAACTTTCCTAATGACAAGCATTTTAAAGAAAATTAAATAAAAGCACCCTAAATAAATACAAGATATAGCTAATTGCAATACAAACAGATAAATGCATTTTGTAAAAAGCCTAGATACAAGCTTATAAAAATATAGATATAAGATTGTAAAAATATGGATATATTTTTGGGAACACGCAAATATATATTAAAAAATTTATATAAATATATTTATAAAATTATAGTTAAATACTTATAAAATTATAAATATATTATTATAATATTACAATATATAATTAAAAAATTATAAATAAAAAAATATGTTAAAAAATTATATTATTTTAACAGGGTAAAAATTTTGTTTCAAACCTTACTAATCGATATTTTAACCACTCCGATGCTATAAATAAGTTTTCCAATAAATTATATTTGTAGTAGTGCGGGTGTGGGTGGGGTCGTCCCGTTCGAAAAAGCTCAGTGGCTGTCCACGTGTAATCATTTCTTTCGTTTCTATTATCAATTTGGAAAGTGGACATAATGGAAAACCGGAAATGAAGGGTAAACCGCCCCACCATGCTATGAATAAGCTAATAATGTTTAATGATTAAATCAAAAACACGCCGGTTCACTGAACATTGATGGCAAAGCAGAAGGACCCGATCATGATTATCTCATTTTGTCTCATTGTGGAGATTTTTTTTTTACTGGAGACGGGCCGAGTCGATTTCCCATAATTTTCTTTTTAATTTGGTTAATTAAATTATTTTTAATTTTTTTATTATAAATTATTTAAAACAAATCTGTATTATTAAAAATATACAAAATAATTTGTTAGGACATATTCAATTTGATTTTTGAAACATGTCACTGTTTGAAAATATAAAATGGTATTATTTCCATTTACCTTTATTAATAGGAGAAGCTGGCATGAATTAATTCATTTTTATATTTGTTTAATACTCTTATAATTCTTTATTATGAGCATTGAAATTAAAATGAAATATGAATTTTGCAAATTAAATGTCAAAAATCATTTCATGTGATATATTATTATGTAACATAATTTTAAATAAACACTAGAAATTAGTATATGAGCCGAAGCTTATCACTGTTCTTTTATTGGAAGGACCAGAAAGTTATAATTAACTAATTAAAATACATTTTCTCCTTCTGTTAGCCTTGGAGCTTTCTCTGTAAAGCATTTAATGAATTTAGGATATATGACTGAGTATTGTGTAGGTTAATATACTGATGGTTTTAGCAAGTTAAATTGAAATATATTGACTTTAGACTGCAAAGATATACAGTAACTCGAAAGCCAATTGTGAGGGAAAATTAGAGAGGGTTATCAACAAGTTGAACTTGGATTAAATAAAATTTAATTTAAATTTAAGTTTAAATACACATTTATATATTCAAATTTAATTCAAAATTTTATAAAATTTATTTCTGTTAATTCATATTTAAATTTGACAGATAATTTAAAATCTGATAAAAAAATTTAATCTTACAAAAAAAATAATATTTTTTGCACTTAAATCATTAAATCTATTCAAATAGTCATATTATTCTATAAATTTTTTTATTTTTCTAATTTAATTTTTACAAATTCTAATATACATATATATAATTATTAATTTAATAAAAATATTATTAAAGTCCAAATTTGAATACTTAATGATTGCCATTACTTAATTTTATATATATAATTTCTTTTACTCTCAACCCAAGTTTTATTTTCGTCATCTTGGATCTGTTGTATTGGGAGGGATTCAAGTTGGGCCCATAAAATATCACAGAAGTGGGCCATAGCCCGCAGGAACGTTACATAACCAGGCAAGACAGAATCGATTAACTGGTTAACGGCTGGGGCAAGAGCCCAGTGTAACATGTTTTGGAATGCGTTATATTTGTTTACTTGTTGTTCAGAACATTTTGGGGAAGTAGTAACCGAACCAAAAAAAAAAAAACCTGGGGAAGTATTTTCGTAAGTAGAATAAGGAGACAAGTTGTAGTGGCATTACCTGTATCCCCTTCCATTAACCAAAACAAATAAATCAATGGAAAGGAATTTGCGAAAATATTTTGATTCAACTTCAAAAAAGATGCTCGGGGGTGTACATATATATATATATATATATATATAGAGACACACACACACTCTCTCTCTCTCACACACACACACAAAATTAAGGGATTTTTGGTCTGAGGGTGCTTGTGCTATTTTCTCAAAGACCATTGTTTGTGGAGGAAGGAATTTGCAAAAATATTTTGATTCAAATTCCAAAAAGATGCTCATAGATATACAAACACTTGTGTATTAAGGGATTCTTGCTCTAAGGATGCTTATGGTGTTTTATCAAAGACTGATGTGTGTGAAGGAAGGAATTTGCAAAAATATTTTGATTCAGCTTTTAAAAAAAAGCTCATGAATATATATATATATATATATATATCCACATTTGTATATTAAAGGATTCTTGCTTTGAGGGTGCTTGTGCTATTTTATCAAACATCATTGTTTGTGGAGGAATGAACTTGCGAAAATATTTTGATTCAACTTTTAAAAAGGTGCTCACGGGCATATATATACAATTGTATATTAAGGGATTCTTGCTCTGAGGGTGCTTGGGCTATTTCATCAAAGACTGTTGTTTGTGGAGGAAGGAATTTGCGAAAATATTTTGATTCAACTTCTAGAAAGACGCTCATGGGTATATATATACACCTGTATAGTAAGAAATTCTTGCTGTGAAGGTACTTGTGCTATTTTATCAAAGACCGTTGTTTGTGGAGGAATGTAAAAATTTTGGCAAGTTGGACAAACATGAATGTCAAGAATGAGAATATCCATATGAGATTGAGGAAGTAGAAAATAAAGAAGAGGAGTGAGCTCCATCAGATACTATTGTTTATATACAAATCTTGCCTTTGTTTTACTCTTCCTTTATATGGTTTACGGTAAACCTTACTATTAGTTTAATATATATTCTGGTGTAGTCTTTTTAACTAATTTTCCATCATTGTCTGATCACTTTTGAGGAAAAATTTTTTATTAAGAGAAAAAAATGGGTAAAAATCTATAATTTTTAAAAAATGTAAACATTTTTATAATTTCATAATTTAATAAAAGTAAATTTATAATTACAAAATATGGGTAGAAGTTAGAAATGTTAGGCTGAACAAAAGGGAATTTCTTGGAAACTAAAGGGAAGTTTCAAAAACAAATACGAACTTGCCTATCTGAATATCTTACCTTGAGTGCTCGATTTTAGAGAGGTAGAAGAAGGGTCCGAACCAGGCACCTTGGTCTTCTTGAATGTTGCATAGTTGTGGTAAAAATACAGGCTGAAGTCCACCAGGCAACCGGTAGCTGACTCATCATCAATGATAATGAGCCTCAGGCAGGTGCCATCCTCCAGGGTGGACAAAAAGCTTAGCAATCTGGTCATTGAGTTAGTAGACCCTTGCCATGGAAGCTTATGGCTCCTTCCACGTAATCCTTGAGATTCACCTGCCCTATCATCAGGTTTTCCTACCTTGGTGAGAGTGCATCTTCAAACTCAAACATGGGTAAAGAAGGAATTGTGTGCTCTGAAATTAAAATTATGAAATTATAAAATTACCCATATCTATGCAAAATTGCAAAATTTTTATATTTTTAATGACATATTTATCCTTATTAAATGACCAAAAAATAGTTGAAAATTGGCTAAAAAGACTATAACAAAACATATATTAAACTTAAAGGATTAAAATGTTATATTTTCAATTTAAATAACTAATGTAATACTTAATTTAAATTTAAAAAATTAATAATAAAATTTACCCTATTCTTTATTGTTTGGAAAGGGAGAACACTGCACAGCAGGCTTATGAATTTTTTTAGCTCAAAACTGAGCAGAGGACTTGTCCAAATAACCTTCCATGAACCTCGAGTAGGGGGTGTGCAAAATCAAACTAATTAATCAAATTAATTAATCAAACTAAATCAAATTTTAAAATTTAGTTTTATTTTTTTTAAATTTAGTTTTGTTTGGTTTGGTTTAAAAAAATAATTCAAAATTATGGTTTAATTTGGTTTAAAATCAAACCAAACCATTTTAAACCAAAAACTAAAATTTTAAAAATTCTTTATAAAAATATTAATATATACACACACCTACATATATTTATATAAATATATATTTATATATCATATATACATATATATATTTATATGTGTATGTACATACACACATATAAACGTACATACATACATATATATATACATAAATTTTATCTACTCATACAAATATAAATATATATATATATGTACATATATTTATATTGTATATATAAATATATAGACTGTGCGTGTGTGTATGTATGTATATATATATGTGTGTGTGTATATGTATGTATACATACATACACACACACACACACACACATATATATATATATATGTTATGTTTGTGTGTGTGTGTATATGTATGTTTATGTGTACACACACACATGTATATATACATACATAAATACATAAATATATG